AAGGTTTCTTCACTTTCCAAAGCACCCTTAGTATGGGAGCAGGTTCTTAGACATACAAACCTGTAAGGAACATTTCAAAAGTACAGCAATATGTTGGATGCTAATCCTGCATTTAAAAGTAGCTCCTGAGACTGAGGAGATGGAGCAAAAGATAAATGAAGACCAAAATTCAGACCTTATATAAAAGCCAAGCAAACATGGTGGCCTTCCAGTAACCCTATCACTAAATAGACAGAAACACCCTTAGAACAATCTGGCTAGCTTAAAGGAGATAATCTGTAAGATCCTAGTCTAGCAAAAGGCCCTGTCTCAGTAAGTACAGTGGAGAGTCTCATGATCAAGATACCTGTTGTCAGTCAGCCTCTGGTCTTGATACATAGCACCACATATGCACAGACTTGGCCCATATACATGCAAAATTACAGATACATGCATGTCACATGTCCATGTAACAATATTTATTACTGTATCAATTATGCTATATAATAACATACATGAATTAATAATGCACATGTATTATTATTGTTAATAATAATTATTATTTCTGGAGTCCATATGACTTAAATGCAAACAAAGTTGATAAATGACAATGAATGATACATGATAAACAGATAATATATAAATAGATGATGTTGTTTTACTTTTCTATTGCTCTGATTAATTGCCATAACCAAGACAACTTATCAAAGAAAGCATTGAATTGGGCTTACAGTTTTTGAGGGTTAGAGTCCATAATGCTATAATAAATACATGGTGGCAGCAACAGTTGGGTGTTTCCATATTGGTCCACAAGTAGGAGGCCAAGAGAGCTAACTGCAAAAGGGCATAAATCTTTCAAAACCTCCAAGCCCACTCCTAGTGATGTACCTCCTTTAGCAAGAGCACATCACCTAATGCTCCACAAATGGAGACCAAGCATTTAAACAGAAGAGACTATAGAGGCCATTCCCATTCAAACAACCACTTCCTACTTCCTGGCATGCATAGGTCTGTGGCCATATCATAATGCAATATGTATCTTGTCCAATTCAAAACTGTTCATAGTTGTCAGTCTCAATAGTGTCTAAAAGCCCAAAGTGCAAAATCTCTTCTGACACTCAGGGCAATTTCCTGTTACTCCCTGTACAATAAAAAAGCAAATTACATACATCCTACATACAATGGCACACAGTATACATTATCATTTCAAAAGGAAGGAATAGTGGCATAGTGAAGAAATACTGGATTAAGCAAGACCAAAGCTCAAAGCAAATGCCAGATCCTCTAGTTCCATGTCCAAATTCAAAGGGCTTAGATCACTCTGCCCTTCCAGCTTTGCTGCCTAAAACACATTTCTCTCTCTCTTGTGCTCTTTCTACTTCTTATATTCTGCTTTGCTTAGCATATATCACACGGCTCTGATACCTCCAACACATCTTAGGCTTCACTTTCACAGCTTTATGTAATGGCCTCTTGGGGCATTTTACTCATTCAGGACCTTCATACAGGGACTGCCCTGAAACACATTGCCTAGCTTCAGAGGTACTTCTAAACTGTGGAGAAAGACTCTACAATTGGTCTATCCCCCATGATCCTAAAGCCAGAAACACATAGAGGATGCCACCAAGTTGGTCTGCCTGCTTGGGATGGGGCTTGGCCCCCTTGAATCACATTTGCAAAAGTTTTTTTTTTTTTTTTTGAAATTGAAAATTCCTTAGGCCTTTTCCTTTCACGTGTTGAAAGCTTAACTGGGTGGGGTCTTGCCCTGAGGGCTCCCACCCCTCCCTTTATTCCATTTTGTATAAGGCTTATCCTTAACCTCATCTCTTTCAGCACAAGCCTTGGCTCTAAAATTAACCCCTAATTCTCTTTTCCTCTTCAAAGGATACATTTGTGTTTCTTTTTGTTTCCTACTTGCTCATTTTCATTGTAGACCTGAATATCAGTGATTACTAATAACTATGCAACAGAGTCAATATTAGGCTGTCTAGAAATCTTCACCAAAACAATTGGTTCATTATTGTGGAATATTCCTTTATCCTGTGTGAGTAGATGTCATTGTGATTGGTTTAATAAAGACACTGTCTGGCCAATAGCTGAACAATATAAAGTTAAGCAGGGGAGTCAAACTGAGAGTGCTGAGAGGAAGAAAGACAGAGTCAGGAGTAGCCAGCAGAAACAGAGAGAAGCAAGATGGGAATTCTGTACTGAGGAATGGTGCCAAGCCATGTGGCAAAGCATAGACCAAAAACATGGGCTGGGTGGTGGTGGCCCATTCCTTTAATCCCAGCACTTGGGAGGCAGTGGCAGGTGGATCACTGTGAATTTGAGGACAGCCTGTTCTACAGAGAGAGTTCCAGGACAGGCTCCAAAGTTACAGAGAAACTCTGTCTCAAAAATCAAAAAAGAAAAAAAAAAGTTAATTTCAATGCAAGAGTTAGGTAGTAAGATGCCTGAGCTATTGGCTGAGCATTTACACTTAATACTTGCCCTCTGTATAGTTACTTGGCAGTTGTTTTCAGGACAGGAACTTCTGCTGAAACATTACTTTTTAATGTAACCCAAGCAAATTTTTAGGACTTGGGAAAGCAGCTCCTTCCTTCCTTCACCCTCTAGCCATGTGACTGTGGAAGTCCTTCCTTGCCTCTGAAGCCCTTGGAGCTGGGCTTCCACAGTCCACATAGTTCTTATTGCTATCTTCCAGCCTTGTAAGTGGAAGCCCCATTAACCCCTGTTTATAGCATTCAACTGCTTTTCTAGTCTAGAGTACCAGTGTTTCACAGTCATCCAGAAAATTACAAGGTCATGTCTTTCACAGTAATCCTGTATCCACTTCTGTCTTATTTTTCTATTTCTGTGGTAAAACACCATGACCAAGGTAACATATAAAAGAGTTTCGCTGAATTTACAATTTCAGAGGGTTAGTGTCCATGATGGCAGAGCAAAAGCATGGTCACATGAACAGCTGAGAGTTCATATATTGATCCACAAGTAGGTGCCAAAAGACCAATCACCCTGAATGACAAACCTACTCCACCAAGGCCACACCTTTTAATCCTTCTCAATCAGACACTATCTGAATAAGTATTCAAACATTTCAGCCTAATGAGGCCATTCTCATTCGAATTACCACAGATAGCCAAACAAATGCATACAGCACAGTCAATAACTTTATTAACTATGATCCATTCACCTTCTACCAAGGTTCCTTCCTGCCCTTGAAGTAACGACGACAGGATGACAGACCATCTTATACCTCCACATCCTTCAGTCTTTTCACTAGGAATGGTATAGGTCTACCTTCACCCCCACAGGGGCAAGTTCCTTTTCTCTTAGCAAATTTCTACTCATACTTAAAAGGCTGAACAGTTCACAGTCTTCCCTGACCTTTCAGGGAGTGCTGGTTGTTTCTGCCTAGGCCATGTTGTCTTCAGAAGAATTACACTTTGCTTCTCTGATACTACCCATGTGCAAGACAGTCCTGAATTCGAAGGACCACAGTCCAGTGCATTTAAGAATATTCTTTGAATGAATTGCTTGCTTTCTTGACTCATTCACAAATATTTTCAGACTTAACATTAAAACACAACCATGACAGATTTTCAACTAATAATAGTTTTTAACTAATTATTATAATTTAAAACTTGGTTCTTAAATAACTAAGAATACTATGTAAAAGAGTTTTTAATTCCTGTAGTAGTATATGGCCACTTCTGTAATTAAACTCAGATAACACTGAATGAACTAGGGAGTTCATAACAGTTTACTAACATAACTTGTCCACATTCCAAGCAAACATAGAGTGCCTTTCTTGATTCACTGACTCTTTCAATCACAAAATAACAAACTACACTTAATATCTTTTGTTTACTATTAAATGAAATTATATTCAAAGGACACAAACTCATGTAACATTCATTTTTTGATGTGGGTATAAATAGGAGCAAAATATAAATTGTCCTTTACCACTGTGTATGCAAGATTCATTTCTACATAGGATTGATAATTTAATGTGTGTCATGAAGCCACATTAACTTTATATGTATTATATACATTAATAATAATAACATACATGTATCCATATATGTTATTTATATCTCACATATGTTTATTATATTAAACATATAATTATTATATATTATATATATAATTATTATAATATATATTAATATTTCATATGTTAATATTAATATCTAAAAGGTAGAGTTACATTAAGCATTATTTTTTTAAGTAGTATTTGAAACTTGCTGGTAATTAGCACATTTTCTTCAAATACAGCCCAAGTTTATAGTAAATACAATTGTTCCTGTTTTTGTTTTTCTAACTATTGTGGACACATTTGTACATATTTTTCCCAAAGTGCAAAGTGTACATCTAAAATGTGGGAATCATTTTCATGTGTATAGCAAAAACTAAAGAAAATACTGATATCTTATAAGTAGCTACTTTTCTATCAGTCCTGTGGGCTGAGGGGGGGAGCAGAGGAAAAGAGACAGAGAGACAGACCATATTCGGGATAGAGACAGAACACAAGATTTTATTTATTTGAATAGTAAACCTTTGCTTAGTAGAAACAAAAGTGACAGAATTTACTCCTATAATAAGCTGAAAACAAACAATTGGCTAATATTTTAATGTGAGAAGGAAACACAGAAAATTCTTCTGCTCTCAGATGGGATACACCAGGCTAAGGATCTGAAAATTCCAAAGGGATTTTAATTTTAGCTTGGAAAATGCTTATTCTACAAAATTACATAGATAACGAAAGGTCTTCTCAGAGCATTTACTATGTGAATGTCTATTGTAAACCACTTCACCTATTATAATAGGCAGAAGTTTCCAGACAAACTCAATTAATAACAAATTTCCTCCCTTTAGAGTGAGAGGGAAGCATGATTGGTAGGTTTCCATAAGCCTTATTTTCTTCTGAATATCTCCACATGGCTTTGTGGAGAATTCACATTTCTCTGTCACATTTGGCATTTTCTAACTGACAGTTTCCGAGAGAAAGAAGTACCAACCTGAAGGCTTCAAGGTACTCAACATCTCCCATGGGGGGGTCAAGGCCACCTGTCCAGGCAATGTTTATGTTGTAGCCTTCTCCCAGGCCTACTCCAACCTGGGAATAGAAAAACACACCACTATGGGTAGAGAAGGGAGGAAAGGGGAGAAACAAAAGGAGGGGGAGACAAGCACATGGGAGCTCTTGAAATAAACATCAAACACAGCGTTCAAATCACCCAGCTCTGCTTGACAGCCAGCGCTCTGGGTTATGCACTTGCTCTGCACGGGTTCGTGGTCCTGTGGGACAAGTGGGGTAATCTGGTGTAATTTAAAACACCAGCAAAGGACAAGAAAATGAGGGGTAATCACGCAATGCAATTACCTGCGAGATACAAGTAAAAGCAGGGCTCTAAAGAAATAAACCGAACCTCATTCGGGGCTCCACTGCCGGGGAAAAAGTTCCCTTCATCATAGCGATGGAGTGAAATGTACAGGACGCTGGGGTCAGCATAAAAGGCCTGCTGTGTACCGTTTCCATGGTGAACATCCTACAGGGAGAAGAAAACAGATGACAAGCAGTCACGTTTGACTCTGGAGCTCCTCTTGTTCCTGTTCCCTGTCTTTCTACCCCGCCCTTCTCCTTTTCTGTCTTCTCACCCATCTTTCTCTTGCTCCCTTTCAGCTTACTTCTACACCACCCCTTTACTTCCTGAACTTCCAGGCAAATTACCCTTTAATGCTCTCATTTTTTTTTTTTTAAACTGGCTTCTAAAAATCAGGAAACCACAGCGAGCATGCCCTGGAGACTCCAGATGAGCAGTCACTGAGAAAGCCCAGTCCTTCGGTACAATTAGATATTTATACATCGGCGCTTTGTACTCTTTGCTTCAGTGATGGAACCCTGCATCCTGTTTTATAGAGGAATTTTATGACTTATTAACTGCCAACAGTTCATAACCCCTCAGGCTTAATTAACTAGCCTCATTGGCCTCTGGGAAAAAAAAAAAGACTAATGTTTAAACTACAAACTAGTCTTTTTCAGGAGGACCTATGGCTTACAGAGCATTTTCACAATTCTTGACAGAATACTAAACCATAAGTGTATGCCTTGATTTGTCGAGTTCCACCATTAAGGTCAAAGGCTTTGCAACCAGCTGAATAAACTGGCTCTCTTGAAGCATTCAGTTCAGTTAGCAATCCCTGAGCAGCTAGAGTCACTTCAAAAAAGATGCCAGATGGGAAAAGGACTTCATACTACTTTTTGCTAAAATCGTAACAGCAAGAGTAAAAGCAACAGGGGTATGAACTCATTAACTGTTAAATCATTTGGACCAAGGCAGGAAGATGGCACAGGGGGTTATACCGTCCAGGCCAGTCTGTCTCACCGACACTGACTGTTTCATGCCTCTAGTCTCAGCTTCCTTCTTCATCTTTCCATCTTTCCCACACCTCTCCAACTTCTTAACAAAAAAATCCTATTGTCAATGAATGAATAAATGATTTATTGGACATTTGTAGACAATAATGATTCAAACTTGATGGTGATTCTATTTTTGATATAGATACATGCCAGAATTGATATAACTAATGGAAACAATAAAAGGAATAACATTTTAAAATATCTCTATTAAAAAGAATTCAGTTATTAAGGACTTCAGTAATGCTTTCAATATCTTCCGAAGAAAAAGAAGCAGGCTGCTAACAAATACTGACCTACATATTTTATGCAGGAAATATTATTGTTAACATTATTCACTTATACAATTATAAAGAGCTTTGGTGTTTTGTAGCTATTTAAATACATTGGGTTTTATTTTATATCAGTAAGATTTACAATGTTTTGAATAATGATTCCTACCATTGCTAAATGAACACAATATTAAACACCTTGAATTAATTACTTAAAAATCATAAAGGACATAAAATATTATCTCTACCCTAAAAAAACAAGACCACTGATTCTCAAGAGCTCCCATAACTTACTAAGAATCTGCAGACAGTACATTGTGAGGTTGGTTATTGAATCCACTTTTACTGCAAATGAAAACCTAAATTATTTTCTTATTTTTCTGATACTTTTAGCAAGCATATGAAGTGAATATTTTGGAAACAAACCATCCTCCTTGACGTGGACAGAACCCTTTGGTTCTCCAGTCACCAATTCCACCAGACATTTTCAAAGCTTCCTTGATGATGAAAACCTCAACTGAGCTTGCTACCTATGTTATATATACATACAATAATTCCCTTTGTGGTTCACATATCACACATACTCAAAAGTAATCAGAGAATCATATTGCTCAGGCAGATAGGAATCATTTCAGAAACTAGTTCTAGTTATAGCCAAAGACAAATGCATCAGAAAAAATGAAAATATATTAATTACTGGATTTCTAATAATCAAAAGAAAGAAAAGGATAGTAAAATTATTTTTTTCTTTATGTGAACAAAAATGAAACAATTTAAGCCACAATGTATTTTGTACTGGCTACTACTTATCTAGAATGTGTTTTAAACAAACAAAATCAAAATAACTCTAAAGAAAACAAGAAGAGTGGCATCCCTGCTTCTCCTCCAGTAGCAATAGTGAGCATTGTAAGACAAATTTTGTTCTGGGTATAAAACAGTCCAGAGATGGAAAAGCAGAAGAAAAAAACAAAACAAAACACTGTGTTGACTACTCTTAGTTCGTTAGTACATTGGAAAAGTTTATTTAAGAAGGGGGAATAAAAAAAGACACTTTTCCCCTGGTACAAAATCAGCTGCTCTTCAAAACTTTGTGGAGTGCTTGTTAGTGCACACACTGGAAGAAATGCATCTTGTCCACAGTGAAAGAAAAAAAAAAAAAAACAGCAGACATTATTTATAAAAACACACAAATCCATCCTAATACTTGAGTAATTATCAATTCTGTATTTATTTGCCAAGTACTTAGAGATAAAAATAAATCCACATAATCTGTGTGGTGCTACATCTTAGAGTAGGGTTGAGAGCAGAGTCTGATGCTTACTCTATTTTCCTTGTCACAAAACATTCAAACTAATGACTGCTCAGGAACTAGCTGATCTTGCTTCTCCATGGCAACAAATATATATCAGACTAAAACAAGAAACTTACTTCTGCCTATGAGAGATTACCATAAAAATGAAATGAATCAGCACAGCCTTAAAATAGATCTTGAATCTAAGATGTACTTAAAACTATGGAAAAATGCATATCAATATTTTACTGGTTAAAATATGTACTAAAATAGATTCAGTATAAGAATTTAAACCTATCTATTTCATTCTTATCTAAAATAGTTTTGAATAGATCATATATTCTTCCAGTTAATATTATCCCTCATAATTATTTATTATATGGAGACGAAGTTCTAAATGTTTTTGATCAACAATGGAATTTCCTAAAATATATGAATATTAGATGTAAACTTTCTTATAGAGAAAAAAAAACTTAAGGAGAATTGTGATCTTCCAAAATTGCCTTATAGGTCACATTAACTGAAATCTATATGACTCAAACAAGAAAGCCCACTCAACAGACATGCTGCTACCCAGAACACAATGCTATACTCTTTAATATGGAAAAGCAAATACACCTACTTCCTTTCCATACTGATTTGTAATTCAGAGAGAGAAAAGGAATGAACAGACTTAATACATCTTTGGAATCACATCTGCCTAATATGCAAAATGCCTCTGAATTAGGCCCTGACCAAAATAGAAGGTGACTTGCAACTCTTGCTTTATATTTACTTGGATATAAAAATGTCTAAACAAGCTATTGATGATAGAGTAACACTATTTTCAAGGGCCCTAGAGCCTATGTGGCTAGAGGATCTGAGGGGATGGAATTGTTCTCCCACTTTTCTCTGTAACTTGCAGAGCAGACCTGTTGGCCAGGGAGAATGGGTGTCTGGCATCTTGTGACTCTTGAAAACTTCCTTCTCAGCTGCTGGAAGAAACAAGAATTTCCTCAAAGTACCCTGCAGCTGCAGAGCTTGGAAGACTCGAAAGCAAGAATGTGTGGGCTGGTGGTGACCTCAGAGGCCACACTTTGGACAGGACTTCATACACTGAGAAGATCTGAAACAAAAACTTCTCATCTGTGGGAGCCTGTTGGGAAATGAGTATCCTTTATGGATTGGAAATGGGGTAAAATCACAATCAGAGGCCAGCAACTTATAGGGAACTGACTCCTTAGAGATACTAAGTCAATCACTTTACAAATCAAATCAGATTATCTCTACAGTCACACCCAAATCAATAAACATCTACACAGTTCGGATAGCTCACGATTCTTAAGAACACATCTAACCAATCACCTTGCCCACCCCCAAAATTCCTGGATCTTCATTTGCCATCTTTTCTTCAAATGTTTGAGCCTATCTTTTTAATCTCATGCTTACAAAACTAAAAGAATACTGATTTTTAGAAATGTAATGTATTAAAATACATGCAAACTACTAATTACTTAAAACATCATTTCAAATGTATTGGAGAAAATAGGTATGGATGTCTTCATTCATGCAAAGTCACAGGAATTGTGCAGTGTTATATCTGTAGCCTTCAACACAGCCTGTTTAATACTGAACTATGACCTATTTTGAAACTTAAGCATGTTTGGAAAACACATGGAAAATTAGAATTCATTATTTTTCATGTGAAAATGCCTTCAGAAAAGCCACAGTGTGAAAAATATCTATTCCAACCAGGCCATAGATGGGCTTGACAACCACCTTCCATTTTTAAAGTTCTTCATTTTCATTTAAATATTTCTTTATATGACTTTGTTAGTGATCTCGCCACCCTTTGGGGGTGCCTATTTAACTAAATCTAAGGGCTGAAGGTTGATGTCATGACTTCCAATAAGATTTAATTATGAGTGCAGATATGAACAAGATTTAAACTATTAAGCTTTGCACTTCAAAAAAAACCTCTAGCATTTTTTTTTTTGCCTTTAAATCTTTTATCACCTGCAAAAATTAATTAAGTGCAGATGCAGCCGGTTTGGCTTGGATGCCAGGGTTCATTTCCTGTCTATGCTTTGTCAGACAACCTATTACACCTCCTGGTGAAGTGCAGGCTAACCGAAAAAGGGGCTCATAAATCACCATTGGCTTTCCCTCGCCCTTTCCTGGGTTGGTCCTTTTTGTATGGGGCAGATCTCCAGCTCATTATTCATGAATACATTTTAGACAACCTGCCAAGTGTCATCTGCATTTAAACAAACCATTTGTTAAACAAATTGTAACTATTGTGTAAGAATGCTTCGTGCTAAAATGCAAGATAAATCCAAGGCTTCTGACTTTTAACCACTCAAAGTTCCTGCAGGGAGTCATCCCAAACTGGCATCTGTGACCTGAAATCTTTTCACACAGAATGACGTGTTGACTTATTTTAATAATACCAGTGTTGCACAACAAGAGGCATGATTGCTAACCGGGGGAAGTGCCCAATTGGTTACCAAAGCAACAGAATTCCTCCCTGCACATCTGACTATTTAAAGTCTATATTCTGCAGGGAAAAGTAAATTCAGGTTCTGTTGGGTTATTTTAACTGTGGAAGTATCAATTCATTTAAGCATCATAAAAGTCGCCCTGATCTGCGCCTTCTTCTCATTAAATTGCAGTTAACACCATGAAAGTGAAACGTGAATGTTTATGGTTTCAGAACTGCAATCCTGAATTTAATGAGTTTCCACATTCAAAGGAAACACACCCTTCAGTTGTTTGCAAGTGCTAAAAGCAAGACAACCTTACAGAGAAACACACATCCACTCCCTTTTATCTAGAGTCACAGAAAATGCAGCCCTGGCCATGCATACATACCAGATCTACAATCAATATCTTGCTTATATTTAGTTGGTCTCTCAAGTATTTGGCGGTAATTGCAACTGAATTAAAAAAGCAGAACCCCCTGTGGAATAGAGAAGAACAGAGAAATAAGAAGGCAAATCATCCAGGAAAACCATTATAAATAATGTTCAGAGCCTTTTTTTTAAACGCTATATGATCTCTGAAGCCATAAATCTGCTTCTGGGAGTACCTCTTGAGCGTTTTGAGTCCATCTGTTAACAATTAGAGGCTTCAGAAACACGCACAGGGCAGGTGACTGCCAGCAACCATGGCACTTGAAGATGGCAGTGGGTCTTGGTACTTACATGGCTGCAGATTCTTCAGCATGATGGCCTGGGGGCCTCACAACAGCAAACCCATTCTGGAAGCACAAGACAGATTTTCAAAAGCAGATTTTCAATACTGGTTGGATCTCTGCAGCTTATGCAGTATTACAGACATATAAAGAAGGCCAATGTTTCTTAGACAAACCCAAGCTTCTTTCCTTGCCCGTGTCACCATGTCACAGGATCAACTGAGACAACGTTTAGGAATACATTTTCTCAGATCCTGTCTCAAACAGGCCAACACTGAGCCAGAAGAAGAACACGGAGTTGGGACTTGTACATAGCTGGCAGACAATCATCTCAGCTGTTAGATTCACACAACTCACTTGCAAAAACGACCTTTTATTTTTGTAATATCAACATCCTACAGTGAGAAATTCACTCTTGGTGCAAGTTTGGGTCAAAGTTCGGAAAGATGGGGGAAGATCCAAAGTGAAAATTCCTGACCTGGGTCTCCTCAATGGTTATTTCCAGTCCAGTGTCAGCAAAATGATAAATTTACACTTGCACACGTACATAGACACAAAAGAAACCCCGAAAGGTAAAATGGAGAACAATGGAAAGCCCATATCTCTTCCAGTCTATAAATTTAGCTTGGATGACTGCCAAGACATGTGAGTTTATTGGATTCTCTAAGTCAATTTCTAGCCCAAGTTCTGGAATTTTATAAAGAATTCCAGAGCTATGCAGCAGGCAGATATCCTATGATCAAGAAATGCCTTAACCTCCAGGTTAGTGGAAATGTATCACAGAAAGCTAAAGAGACTCAGCACGAAGACAGGGAGCTATAAATCCTCGAAATGCCGCGTGCTTAGGAATGATGGGTTGTCTGATGCAAAAAGATAACCATTTATCACACAGTTCACACCATTTTCCACTTAACTCTGATTCTAGGAGCATGCTCCAAAATAATATTTCCTTAACACACAATCCATAACTTCTGAAATAATTTTTATATACCGTAAGAATTTTCCTTCTAAATCTTTACCTGAAATCATAAAGGTATCAGAAAGTCATCCTACCTTGACGGTCATGCATACTATCACTCTTTATGATGATAATTTATAAACAGGTAAATTTACTATGTATTTTGGTGAGTGCACACAAGAATGATTTTAGAGACAAATTAGAAGTCACAGAAATTAAAATGTATCCTCCTGTAATTGGAAATGTCACCCTCAGTTCAACTCTCTTACAAAGTGGGAACTTACCCTGGCAGATTTCCTGAATTTGCTTTCTCAGGCACAGATTCGTGCTGTAACTGAAGAGTGGGTTAGAGATGGACAGAGTGGGTTGCTGAGGAAAAGGGTCAGTTAGACTGATTTTTCCCTCTCTCCTGCCTTTTCCTTACATTGTGACTGAGAATTCTAATCTGACCACATGCTGGCTTTGCCTCCAGAATTCAAAGTTGCAAAAGCTTGTATTGTTTATATTTTAGTGTATAGTATTTTGTTATAGCAGCAGGAAATGGACTAAGAAGCTAAATCATATCTCAGTAAGCAAACTCTAGAGATGATGATAACCCCACCTCCCATCATTTTCCTTAAACCATTTATATTTTCTCCAGTCTTTGTTATAGAAAAAGAAATTGTTAATGAATAACACAAAATAATAAGGACTGGAATTTTAAGATTAGTGGAGAATTCTGAAAAGACCATGATAAGATCAATACAAGTCTTTGAATGAAAGAAATGAATATAAGACCTGGTCAACACAACCCATGTGCAAAAAGCATTGCATGAACGCAGCTGAAATCACTTCCTTCCCTCTTAGAGTCAAACACCTGAGAAAGTCTGCCTTTTGCTTTGTAGTTTTCTGCAATAACTACCACTATTTTGTCTCTGGTTCAATACAAACTGTTTTATCAATAAAGGGCATGTTGACAAAGAACAAAGAAAAAATTCAAACAATGACCAATATGCAGTGAACATTATTACATCAAATAAAAACAGACGGAACCTCCAATGATAAGACATATTTTGCCATTCCCATTGTAAGCTATAAAGAAGGTTCACATTCATACGACATAATGACATTAACTTTCCGTAAAATAATTTCCTGTATCTATGTAGAACTTTTGGAAAGCATCTACACTCTGAATTACTAGTGTGTTTTCCCTAACACAATGCTATTAACTGTGTCTACAAGCACCTATATAAAAAGTCATATTTAACTTACAATTATAAAAACTGCTAATTACCTGATCAGCTAATACTATGAAAATGGTAAACAAATTATGGCCTGCTTAGCCATGTAATATTAATATTAGCTACCTACTCAATAGATTCACTTGAGTATCTCAAGGGTACTTCAAATCACTTATTCAGAATCAATCTACTAATCTCCCATGGCAATGACACCATGGTCCCCCCATTACCTCAAGTCAGAGGCCAGTGAATTCTCTTCTGGCTCTTTCTCCATCTTTCCTCCATTTCATTTTAGTTCATGACCAATTGCTGATGACATCATTTTGAAAAATTACTCAAATTTATTCTCTTATTCCTTCGTCCATTCCTTTTGTTTTGCTGTGTTAGGTTGCAGAACCTTGCAAACAGACAACAAGCACTGTGCCAAGAAGCACACACTTGGCCCTTCCTAAGGGTTTTTCTTTGTAGAAATCATTACCTTGCAGTATCCATATAATCCATTCAGTACCCTGAGTTCTCCACTTCCTGATGCTTGCCATTAATACTTATTTTATTCTGTTTACACTCACCTTTTAGACTGTCATCAGGGACAGCATCACCTTCACGATTTCCATGACAAGCAAGCATCTACTCTCCCGGCACCTTATCTTCCCAGACAAAACTTGAACTGACCTCCGGCTTCTCCTTGATTGACCTTATGTGGTTTTGCAGCTCAGCATTCATCTGCTACCATGTTCCATTTCCTCTTATCTACTTAGACTCTAAGGCCATCATCCCATTCACATCTCCACACACACTGTCACCCTGCCCTTTGCTCAGATGGAACACTGGCAGGACTTTGTCTGGTCAAGGCACTCATTGCTTAAAGACTTCTCACAACAGCCTCCACACAGTCTTTCCTGGGTACTCAGAGTAGGTAACTCTGGTGTCTTTTTCCTTCATTAAAGGGCACCAGCCCTATTGGGTTAAGGCCCTAAGAACCTTGTATAATATTCATCACTGACTTATAACCTTGTATCCAGTGACCAGGAGCTAGATTTTGAATACATGATCTCTGAAGAGGCACAAAACATTCAGTCCTTTGCACATTTTCAATCATGCTGTCCTTTTCTCTTCTTAAGGACTCAAGGAAAATTTACAAGTCTGATAAGATACAGCTCACACCTGCTCTATCCCTGCATCTATGGAAGCATACACAAAAGCCAGATGTCTGGTTGTCCTTTACAGTTATAATCTTAAGCTCCAAGTACATTCCTCAGGATGGCTGGAAACCACACCACATTCCTTTATCAAAGATCCAACTGTCCATGACTTTCCTATGAATCATTCTAGCTTTTCCCTTTTCTTCAGATTTAAATAACCCCTTGCTAACTCCTTAACGTCTGTTGAGAAGTTGCTCTCATTTCACCTAGAAAAGAAAAGTAACTAGAATAACATTTCCACATACCCTTAGGGAGAATCTACTCAGCTACTCTCAGCAGTCATTTCTGCTGACCTGCCTATCTTTTCTCCTCCCACATCCTTTCAGGCCCAGCTAACTGTAGCTCTCCTTCGGTCTGTATCATTTTTTTTTCTCTTTTACTACAACACTGCAATCGGAGCAAATGTTTAACTTTCTCCTCATAAAGAAATAAAACAGTAAATTAATGGACAAGGTGAAGCTATCAGAAGGTGAGACTTTAAAGAGGGAATTCATTTCAGGGCTCATCCATTTTAAAACTGATTAAAGTTCTGTTTAAAGAGGCTTCTTGGAGCCTATGGCTCATCTGCTCTTCCTTCCAGGATCTTGGAAGCAAAAGGCAGCTCAACTCAAGGACCACAACAACCCTCATCTTGACTTGGGCTCCTAGGACTTCAGAGGAGAGAAGCCAATCCACACTTTTTGAGCTATGCATCTGGTGGAATGTTCCTTTAGCAAAAACAGAGGAAAACATTCTCATGGCTCTGCCACAGCTGAACTATTTCTAAGGATCATCTCATCTGCAATGAATGACTAGTTTGACTTGATTTGATTGGTTTTCGCTATTATGATTTAGATGCTTCATGTACATACTCACCAAGGCATCTACTTTTTGTTTCCACTTTGTTCTCCAGTCTGATATAACATTGGATACATAGCAAGAGACCATTACATTTATGAGATGTGGAACTCATAATGATGAGTCATCACAGATGACTCAGTGGTGCAACATGTGCCTAGCATGTGCACGGTCATGGTTTAGATCTATCACTGAAAATGAATAAAAGAATAAAAACACATTCAGGGTAGACCGGGTAGACAGTCTACTTCTCCAGTCTGTTATTGGCTTCGTACTCTTTACTGTCATAGGTGTTTGCACTCTAGCTTTTTGTAGATCATCATTAGACCTGAATGGGAAGTCACCTATTAAGACAGAGGTAACCTCTTAGGCTAGATTTCCTCAGAAACATATAAAATATGATATGCCTTGTAAGATATGAAATCCTTGTGCTAGGTTTTCAATGTGAAATATATCTTACAGGCACTTTTGTTGAATATTTGACCCCTAGCTGGTGGCTCTATTTTAGGATACAGTAGAAAGAAAGGAGGCAGGGCTTAGCTGGAAGAAGTAGGCCACTTTCTGGGTGTATCTGATCCCTGACTCCTTCCACTGTCTTCTTCTCTGTTCCTGGCACTCACAAGTGCAGGATATTTCCTGAGTCCAGCCCTTCTATTGTGATGCTCCTCCTTAGCACGTTGTAAAAACACGGAGCCAAAGAGCTTGGAATGAGCCCTCCATAATCATATGCCAAATAAAACATTTAATTTAAAACAAATTGTTCTTCTCAGATATTGTCAAAATGAAAAAAGAGATAATGAACACATTGGTTTGATAAAATAGGCTGAGAATGACTACAAATGGCAATATTAATATA